GAAATCGTGACCTGAGCTGAAGTCGGACGCTTAACCGACTGAGCCACCCAGGCGCCCCCCTAAAATGATTTTTTAAAAGATGATAAAATGAACTTTTTTCAATATGTTTGAAAATGTAAATGAAAACTGCTAGAAAAGATAACCTACTGAAATAGACTTGGGAAGAAATAGAAAATATAAATAGTCCCCTAACCATTAAAGAAAATGAATCAGTAATTTTTTCCCTATAAAATCAGCTTAAGAGAATTCTATCAAACATTGAAGATAAAATTCTAGTCTTACACAAACTCTTCCCAAGATTAGAAAAATAAAGTACATATACCCCCAACTCACCTTGTAAGGTTAGCTGATCTTAGTATCAAAATCCATGAATAACAGCATGCAAAAGAGAAATCATACACCACTCTTATTCATGAACATAACTCAAAAACTACGTAAAATATTAGCAAATTGAATCTAGCAGAATATGCCAAGGATAATATATCAATCCAGGAATGCACATATATCATTTTAACAGGAAAAAAAGTTTGAAAAAATCTCTGTTCAATAAGAGGCATCTATAAGAAACTATAGCAAATACCATACCTAACAGATGAAACGCTGGAAACTTTTCATTTGAGCTCAGAAATAAGGCAAACTTGCAAACGTTTCTCTCCACGGAAATCGTTAGCAAAAGGTGAGCAATCTGAAGAGAAACCAGAGTATACGTAGCTATGTTTGCCCCTCTTTCTGTAACTGCAATTCTCCAAGCCTGAGGTCTATTCCTGTGCTGCAGTCACTCTGCTAGAAAAAATTGTGAAGGGGATTTTTTGAAAAGACGTAAATTGATCCATGCAAACAGAGAAACGCCCAGTTTTAAACTGACCTGTAGTACTAAGGGCAGCACCAATGGGTATATGCAAACGAGTCCTCTGGCTGAGATGCCAGGGTTGGCACAAAGTAGAGCACGAGTCTGCAACCTGCCCCACCACCCATGGCTCAGGGGAAGGGAAGGCACCCAAAACATTTGTTGAGATGTTGCCCAAGCCTAGGCCTTGGGGCCCTAAGGAGCGCAGGTGGCGACGGGATAGGACTAAACTGGAGTCTCACTTGTAGCTATGATGGGGGGTGGGGGGAGCGTGGAAACCCAGCGACCCAATCTTAACAATCTTAAGTTCTCAACCTTGTGAAGGAGTACACGCCCCAGGACAAAAAGAAGCTCACTAAAATAATCTTTAGCAATACAACTTAGTCTTAGTTTCTTATTACTAAGTTAAGAGCCCATTCAGGCCCGTACAATGTCAAGAGACTATCTTTGACATGCTCAACATTTAGCCTTTCCTAAGTAAGGCCTCTGAAAGTTTCACTACCAATTTTCTAATGTTTCATCCCACAAAACCTTTAGCATCTAAGCCAAAGATTCACTTAAGAAGGAGAGAAACGAAATATTGGTGCTCTTTCTGTGCCCATCATCCTGGATACTACTGGCTGATGCCCCTGCCCTTGTGGTGCCTTTGCATTTGCAGGCAAAAGTTTTTCTTCCAGTGCAGAGAATTACCTCAAGTATATCCTTACTAGGTAAAAATCTCCTGTCAAGGAAATAAAGGGTTAACTTCCGTTATTCAAAGAGATAACACTGATAATAGTTACCATGTGTATAAATGCAGCCTGGTATGCAAAAGAGCTAGCCAGGGATGGGTGGTTTCCCAAATCTTGGCTCCCCTAGGAGTAAGTGGAGAAATAGGGGGGACCTGACTCCTGTGCTGGGGGACCATGCGCTCTGTCTTCTGTGTGGCAAGTATATGTGTTTCAAATAACATTTACCCCAGTGTTCCGTCACATTACCATCTCACCGTGCCCCCTTCCAGCTCTGCCTCTCCGTGGTTCCTTTCCCTTTACAAAAAGATTCAGTTTTCCCCAGTGCACTCCCAGGCACGCCACAGCCTATGAACCCCTTTTAAAGCACTTGTCACCATACAGTGCACCTGTGCCAGGTGTTTAATGCAGATGTGCCCAAGGGCTGAGTGAATGCTGGAATGAATGGATGGCTGGAAAGTATCTACAGGAAAACCCCTCAATAAATTCTAGTTCCTTCTTTCTTCCTAACCAAGTCTTTCCTTTTGCTTCTACCACTTCCTAGCTATGGTACCTTAGGCAGAGTGCTTTACCCCTGGGCCTCATTCCCTGAAATGTAAAATGGGCAAATGTAAAATATTGCAAAGCAAATCTCATTTGGTTAAGGTAAGCTTGCTTCAGCGCAATACTGTGTGGAAAGCCTAGGCAAAGAAGGGCTCCATAAATGGGTTGTCAGAAACTAAAGTTTCCCCAAACCACAATCTACCTTGCTTCCACCCTTCTCACTTTCTGCCACATATCCTCCACCCACTTGCTCTGTCTCCCTCTCACCCCTTGTCTTTGTCCATCTTTGTCTCCCTTTCAAGCCCTAGCCCCTCCCACACGGACACCCGGATTCCTCCAAGCCCAAGGTGGACCCACCTCTGTGGGGCCTCCAGCCCTGACAGCGTCTAAGCCTCCTTGATGGATAGGCTCACCATCCAACCCTCCTCTTCCCTCTATGGCTAGTTATGTGAGGGGTGAGGGTGGGAGATGAGGCTCAGCCCCCTCCTCCTCTTTAACCACAGATCCAGAAAGGACAGGAGTGAGGTGTTGCCTGCCCAGCTTGCCCCACACACACCTTGCACAGTGCTGACGAGTAAAAGGTGCTAGGAGAGGTCCATGAAGGGGATGAGGGTAAAGGGAAGCGACTTGGTTCAAGGGGGGATCTTTGCTTGTTGGATGGGGATGGGTAGTGTTGGAGGTCAGGCCTCCCCAGAGCCTCTGCCCTTCTCCAGCCATCGAGCTGATCAAGGACCTGGTCAACTATGACGTGTGTCAGGCGCTGCTCAAGGGCCTCGTGGCGCTGCTGATACCATCAGTCAAGGAGACCAGCAAACTGCAGCCCAAGATCCTCAACGGTAGGGAGCCGCTCAGACTGGGGCTGCGGGAGGGGCTCCTGGGCTTGCGGAGCAGGGCCTTCCGCCTCACGGCCGCCCCTCCTCCAGACTCCGCGGTTCTCCAGCTCACCGCCAACCTGCCGGTGTTCTTGCAGCAGGCCGCGGCGGCCAAGGCCATCGGGTAAGCGGGCAGGGGTAGTTGGGGGAGGGGGGGAGCAAAACAGGCTGGCGCTGCCCGCAGGCCCCGGAGCGCTCGCGCCGCCTGGGGGGTTCCAAGGGGTCGCCGCAGCCGGAATTCCTGGCGCAGGGTCCTGGCGCGCAGCAACACGAGCATCGCCGAGGAGATGCTGCACCTGCGCGTGGTGCACAACCTGATGGCCGCCATGGGCAACACGGACCACAGCAACAGCCAACGGCAGGCCAGCCTCACGCTGGAGGTGAGCGGCGGAAGGGCTGGCGAGCGGCGCGGCGGGCCCCGGGCGACTCCACCGCGGTCACCCCGCCGCCGCCCCGTCCGCCGCCGCAGTACTTCGTGCAGATGTTCCCAGTGGTGGAGGAGCACGTGCGCAGGTCCATGGGAGAGGAACTCTACGAGCTCTTCCTCGTGAGTGCTCCCGCCCCGCCCCGCCCCAAAAAGCAGTGACCCCGACAGTACGGTGCCGCCTCCACAGCGTCCCTCCCCTGGGACACACCCCCTACACAGACTGGACCTGGTGGCCCGCTGCAGGAAGGACTGCCCTGGCTTGCGCTCTCCCCCTCTCCCCTCCCCTTCCCCCGCCTCGTGTCCTTCCGTTCTCTTTACTGCCCTTCCGGTCAAGCACTGGATCCTGCGACAGTCCTCTGCCCGAGCCCACCTCCAAGTGCAGACTGCCCTTGCACCTCAGCAGGTTCCCCTTGCTCCTGTCCTCAGAGCAATGCCGAGGACTTGTACATGAAAATAGATAGCATTCAGGCGGACATCTTGGCGGCCAACAAAGTCAATGTTTCCAAAGGTGAGTGGGGAGTGAGGGGCCCTGGAGCAGAGGTGCAACGGGCACCCAGACTCAGGCTCGCCTCCCCTGCTTCCAGCGTTATCCATCAGTGGCGTCTCCTACAGCAACATGAGCTTTTACCTTGGCCCTTGTGGTGAGGATCAACTGGCTTACACCACATACTTCCAGAAGGAGGGTTCGGAAGGAAAGGAGTAACGGAGCCTCTGAGGCAACCCAGAAAGGCCAAGGCTGTGTTTTACCTGGCAGAAGGAGCCTAGGGTCAAGCTCAGGGTGACTCCCTCCGTTAGCCCTAGGTGGGAGGCTGGGGGGGTTCATGCCAGTAGGGGAGAGGAAGGGCTGCTGTCTGGGAAATTTCAATAAATAGTCTTGCTGTCTGTTTGTTCTCTCTGTAAGGGGGAGGGAGGATTAAATGAGAGCTTCCATGGTGGGTTGGGGTGCCTCTGCTCGCCAAGGAAAAAGAGAAAAGCTGGTTCTGAGTGAAGGAACATCAACATCCTTTAAGGTTCAAGAGCATAGCCTGAGGAGAGACCCTCACTTCAGCTCCTTACTGGCCCCTGCACTCCCTCCTCCAGGAGACCACACTCACCTGGTTTTCTCCTACCTCTCTGGTTGCTTCCTCGTTTACTCTTTTGCTGATTTGTCCTCTTCAACCCAGCTTCTTTCTTTCTTTTTTAAATGTTTATTTTTTAGAGAAAGGGTGGGGGAACACAAGCAGGGGAGAGGCAGACAGAGGAAGAGGGAGAGGACCCAAGCTGGCTCAGCGCAGAGCTCAGTGTGGGGCTTGATCTCACAAACTGTGAGCTGAAGTCGGACGCTCAACTGACCGAGCCATGCAGGCGCCCAAACCAGCTTCTTTCTAACTGGAGTGACCTTGAGCCTCTTCTCCATCTACTTTTTCACCCTGGTGATCTCATCCAGTCTCAGAACTTTAAATGCTGTTCATATTCCATTGATTCACACATCTATATCTCTGGCTAAACATTTCCACCTCTTTGTGTCCAAAACTGGACTCCTGATCCTGTGTCACCTCCCCCAACTCAAGTGATAGCAGTTCATCCTTTTTGTCACTCAGAACAAAAGTGTTCTCCTTAATGTCTCTCTTCAACATCTGTATCCATTCTTTCTGTTGATTCTACCTTACAAATATATCCAGAATCCAACCATATCTCATTACCTCTGTTGCTAATGGTCCAAGTCCAATCCACCATCCTCTTCCCTCTGATTTACTCTGGAGGGCTTTCTGCCCTTCCATTCCCATTTCAATACAGCAGCCAGCGTAGTCCTTTTAAACTTCAGTTTCTATCTTCTTGCAGGGCTCTCCCCTTAAGTAAAGCTAAAGCCCTTATAATGGCCTGCAGGGAGGACCGTAGGCAACCTAGTCTCCCATTACCTCTAAACTGTCTCCTCCTCTCTTTCTCCTTTACTGGATCTACACAGGTTCTGTGTTTCTTGAAATGGACAAACTCTTGCCTTAGGGTTTTGTACTGACTTTTCTGCTGAACAGTGAGAGAGGTTCTGTCTTAGAACCTTTCACCTCAGATATGTAGCTACATAGGCGAACTCCCTCACCTCCTTGCAACTCTCCAAAAGTCACCTTCTCAATGAGGGCTACTCTTAAACTTGTCACTATGTTACTACCCCCTATACTCTGGCCCTCAAGCCCCTTATGCCTCTATTTTCTTCCACGACACTTAATACTTTGTGTATTGTCTGTCTCTCCCCCTGAATATAAATTCAATTAGGGCAGGGGTGTTTTTGTTCTTTACTAATATTTCCCAAACAATGTCTGGCATACAAGAATTAATGACTTAAGTATTGGGAGGAAATTGTCCATCAAATCAGAGGAAATGAAGTCAGATGGCAGTAACTCTCCAGGCGGCCACAAGAGGGCATCACCGGCTCTGATATTGTTAGCCTGAGGCGGCCCAGCCTTCCCTCAAACTGAGTTTCAGCTTTCCTCCATTTGGGTTGAAGGAGAAGAGAAAAGTTAACAAAATATAGTTATGATGTCCATAAAGCTAAATGGATTTCCTGTTTTAAAGAAGTGTCTGTTCTTAGTTCTGTTTTGTTTTATCTTTATTTTTGAGAGAGAGCATGTGCGGGGGGGTGGGGGGGTGCAGAGAGAGGACAGAGGATCTGATGCAGGGGGCTTGAACTCACTAACCATGAGATCATGACATGGCTGAAGTCAGATGCGGAACTGACTGAGCCACCCAGGCGCCCCTGTTCTTAGTCTTGAAATGCCCTTTGTTTTGTAGAATGATGGTAAAAAAGTACCTCAAAAATCTTTCGGAAAAAATTTTTTTTAAGTTTTTGGTGTTTTTTTGTTTTGTTTTGTTTTGTTTTTTTTGAGAGAGAGCAGGAGCAGGGCAGGGTCAGAGAGAGAAGGAGACACAGAATCCAAAGCAGGCTCCAGGCTCTGAGCTGTAAGCACAGAGCCTGATGCAGGGCTTGAACTCATGAACTGAGATCATGACCTGAGCCAAAGTCGGACGCTTAACTGACTGAGCCACCCAGGTGCCCAAAAGAGTTTTATTTTTAAGTGTTCGCTATACCCAATGTGGGGTCGAATTTACAACTCAGATCCAGTCACATGCTCTACTGACTGAGCCAGCCAGGCATCCCTGGAAATTTTAATAGTCAGAAAATCCAAAACTCTGAAAGCCACTGGTCTAAGGTGACCATAGTTTGATAAAAACTATGGAACTTTTTTTTAAGTTTATTTATTTTGAGAAGCGGGGGAAGAAAAAAATCCCAAGCAGGCTCCACACTGTCAGTGCAGAGCCTGACCAGGGGCTTGAACTCACCAACTCCGGGATCATAACCTGAGCCAAAATCAGGATGGGGTGCCTGGGTGGCTCAGTTGGTTGAGCATCCGACTTCAGCTCAGGTCATGATCTCGTGGTTCGTGAGTTCGAGCCCCACATTGGGCTCTGTGCTGACAGCACAGAGCCTGGAGGCTGCTTCAGATTCTGCCTCCCTCTCTCTCTACCCCTCCCCTGCTCACTCTCTCTCTCTCTCTCAAAAATAAATAAACATAAAAAAAAAAGTCAGAGGCTTAACCGACTGAGCCACCAGGCACCCCAAAACCAATGGAACTTTTAAAATGAATCTTGGGGCGCCTGGGTGGCTCAGTCGGTTGAGCGTCCGACTTCGGCTCAGGTCATGATCTCACACTCTGTGAGTTCAAGCCGCGCATCGGGCTCTGTGCTGACAGCTCAGAGCCTGGAGCCTGCTTCGGATTCTGTGCCTCCTTCTATCTCTGCCCCTCCCCTAGTTGTGCTCTGTCTCTCTGTCTCTCAAAAATAAATAAATGTAAAAAAAATTTTTTAAATAAATAAAATTGAATCTTAAGTATAAGACAAATATCTAAAACATACACGTTACATGGAATTTATTAACACATACATCAATACATTAATACATATTTTCCCTTCTTATTTTTATAAGTTAAAAGCTATAAGAAAAGTTGAAAGAAAAATACAATTAATACCTATATATCTATCACTCTTAGACACGTTTGCTTTCTCTCTCTGTGTTTACTGACCCATTTGAAAGTTTCAGTTATTGGGGCGCCTGACTGGCTCAGTTGGTAGAGCATGCAACTCTTGATCTCAGGGTCATAAGTTCTAGTCCCACGTTGGAGGTAGAGATTTCTTTAAAAAATAATAATAATAAAGTTTCTTTTTTTTTAATGTTTATTTATTTTGAGAGAGAAAGAGAGAGAGCTAACAGGGGAGGGGCAGAGAGGGAGACAGAGAATCCCAAGGCTGTCACCACAGAGCCTGATGAGGGGCTGGAACTCAGAACTGTGAGATCATGACCTGAGCCAAAATCAAGTCAGGATCCCCAACCAACTGAGCCAGCCAGGTGCCCCCCAAAAAATAAAGTTTCAAAAAACAATAAAGTTTCAGGTATCATGACATTTCACCATTAAATACTTCACATGATGTTTCTACTACGAATAAGGACATTCTCCTACATAATTATTATTTTGGTGGTCTTAGTAATGGCCCCCAAATATGTCCACATCCTAATTCCTGTGAATATGTTGGGAAGCTATTCTGGGGAGGTTATTCTGGATTAGCCAGGTGGGCGTGAGGTAATCACAAGAGTCCTTATAAGAAGGAGGCAGGAGGATCCAGAGTTAGAACTAGGAGATGACAGGACAGAAGCAAGAGAGTTGGAGTGATGCAGTGAAGGGGTCACAAGCCAAGCAATACACGCAACTTCTAGAACCTGGAAGAGGCAAGGAAACATTCTCCCCTAACAGCCTCTAGAAAAAAGGCAGCCCTGCCAACACCCTGATTTTGGACTGCTGGCCTCCAGAAGTATAAGAGAAAACGTTTGTGTTAAGCCACAGTTTGTAGTTACTCGGTACAGCGGCAACAAGATAACCTGTACAGTTACTAATTCAATAATATCTAAAATAGAGTACATACTAAAATTTCCACAATTGTCCCCAAAATGTACCTTCTGTTTTCTTCTTTCCTTTTTTTGTTTTTGTTTGTTGTTTTTTGTTTAGCATTCAGTTAATGTTGTATGTTGGTTGCATTTGATTGTCATTGTAGTATAAATTTTTTAATGTTTGATTTTGAGAGAGCATGGAACCCAGCGGGGGAGGGGCAGGGATAGAGTGATCACAGCAGACAGCCCCATGCAGGGCTCCAACTCAACAAGCGTGAGATCGTGACTTGAGAAGTCAGTCGTTTAACCGACTGAGCCACCCAGGAGCCCCTATAGTATAAATTTTTAAGTATAAATTTTAACACTTACTTGCTGTCGTGATCTACATAAAAATTTGAAATCACTTACGAAACTGAGAATTTCCTTACAATTTCAAATGACCCACTTCTGAAGAGGCTAAATTAACTCATCGGGGAAAAAAGTATAAATGTCACACAAAAAGCTTGAACTAATTATACTTTAATTTTTAAAATGTTTCTCGAAACCAAATTTATGTAAGTGCAACACTTAGAGTGAGAGCCCCAGAGAGACGAGCCTTGCCTAAGGTACAAAAGTGTTGCCTTGAAAAATGTTTGTGAACAGTTACGCCCAAGCTTGAACTTTAAAGGTTTTATTCTATAGATAGCAAACATCTATTGGACGACTGCTCTGTGCCAGACCCTAGGCACAGAAGGCAGTTCAAGGTAAAGCTTGGTCTCCAACCTGTAAACATGCAAATTCAAAGCCTT